AGCTGCTCTCTCGCGACGTTGCAACTGAAGGCTGCATTTTATGACGAATATCGCAATTGTCCGCATGTAATCGCAATAATTGCCGTACCCGAGATCCTTAATTTCCTTAACAAGCGGTCGCTGCACGTAGTTGGACAGCGGTGTTCTCATAATGGAGCAATGCACTCTGCGCCACGAAGCGGAATCCTTTTTCGAGCTCACGTGGATATGATCCCGAGATGCCCAGATTTGATAGATCCGATTAATAGGACGAGCTGTGGAAACGTGCGTTCTAAGAGGATTGGGACTACTCTTCGAAATTATTACTTGTACCGTCAATCATACGTCCACCAACCCCTTCGTGGGAAGAGGGGGGGGGGGAGAGAGAGAGGGAGAGACAGGATTCCCAAATTAACCGTTTATTCTTTCCTGAATCAAATTGCGTAACGATCTCTCGTAGCAGCGTAGCGTAACGTAAAACGTTGTCAGTCCCATGATTCTCCCTCTCCTATGCGTCTCATTCGTCCCCCACCTTTTACTTTTCCTCTTTGTCCCTTCTCTCCCCCTTCCTCCACACCTATACCTCTTCCGCGGCACTTTATGTTCTTTTCTACTTCCCCTTTCCGCTCCACCGAAAACATGGTCACCCCACTACGAGGCCTTTTGTCCCCCTCCCCCTATTCGCCGGACCGACTGACCCCGGGCCTCTCACCCACGCTGTAGTCGCGTAGTAAAGATGGCCGACTCTCACGTAGCTAGTAAACTACAGGATCGGATCTTTGTGATTCTACTTCTAGATGAATTGCCCGAGATAAGAGTCTGCCCGATAATATCTCCCCCAGTTTACGGCGATTTCATATATTAATAATTTACGCTTTGTCCCTCTTGTCGTTGCTGCGTTGCCCGCTTGATTTATAAATATGCAAGTACAATGCGAAAGTACGTTACATTTGCTTTAATTGACAAACAGTAATCGCGCATTCTCTGTTTTTCTTACGATTCATGCAATTGTACGTATTTTGGAGACATATACGCGAGGGATTGAAGGTCGATAATTCTTTGCTTTGTGCAATTTTTTAATTACAATTGTCCGAATTATTCTTCGTTTTCAGGCGTTATATGTTACGCATTTTAATGAATTAATAAGGATCCAGATAAAGCATCGCGTATTAAATAACAAAATGAAGATACGAGGAAATTAACTTTGAAAGAACTCAATGCGAAGTTTTTTCAATAAACGACGGAGAGATGCATCCCTGTGAAGGCTCCGGACGTCGTACTATACGACGTACTATACGACGTACTATAGATCGTACTACAGCGTACTATACACCGTGCTATAGCGTACTATAGACCTGTAGCGTACTATAGCGTACTACAGCGTCGTACTATAAGGGGGCCTGCGACCGCGTTCACCGGGCCTCGCGTTTCCTTACCTGTCCGTAGGAGACCCGAGTAGCGCTGTCGTCGCTCTTGAACCTTCCCGGCTCCGTCCGGGCATTGTTGGACGGACGCTCGCTCAAGAGAGAGTAGCATAGTGCGACCGCATTACGTTTCGAGTTTCTCCAATCGCGAAAAGCCCGGTGCGTGATTGTCAGTGCGATCGATATACTCGATCAGATCCTCGTCGATGGACCCTGTTGGGTGCTTTTCCGCGGATTTTCATGAAGGAGCAACTTTGACGGATCGTACCTGCGAATTGGAGCAAGCGGCCGACTGTCAACTATGAAGCAGGACCAGCGGCCGCGGAGGCAAGCCCTCTTCCAGATTGCCAAGGTTTGATCCGACATATTTTCTCCATCCTTCCCGCGTTATCGTGTTTATCGTGAGTTCCAGATTCATTTGTGCCGTGTTAAATCGGTGGACGTGTTGCTGTAAGTCGTTGCTCGATACCGCCCGATAATGTGTATACCGTTATACTTATCCCGTCTCGGAGTACCTGTTGATTCTCGGAGCGTTCGCGGCGTATAAATCATCTCGCGCTTTGATATCCTCGATTTAAAGGCAAGAATCGCGAAAATTGACGCGTTTGATATATTTTTGACGTCCCCAGTGGCGCAAATGTCGATATGTTTATGATGATAAATGTTGTGTTGACAAGAAAACTTTAAGGCGGTGTCGGTAGCATTATGGCGTACTAGACGAAGTGGATTTTTAATAGATCCCATTGAATTATATATAGAATATTGTATCATGAATCATGAAATATAAAGCACTTTGGGATGATAATAATAATATTTGACATCACAATTTGAATATTATCATTTAATTCAGCGTTTAAAAAATATTAGTTTTTTTTATTAGAATTGTTTTATTAGAAAGATATACCACAAGTTTGTTCAATTCCCCGCTGGCGTTACATTTGATGGTAAATTTTATCTCATGATTTCTCGCTGTTTATTCAGCATTTCGCGAAATATCTCGCAAGATCGAGCAGGTATTCGTATATTCCTGCAGTAGAAAGCTTTAAGGTCGACTCGTGGGGCGCGGTTGCGCTCGCGTAAACCGATGGATAATTTATTTGCGCAATTTTCCGATGATAATGTAGCAGCACCTTCCGCTCGTTGTATCGTAGGAAAAACCTGCGGAATGCGGCGCGCTTTTTTGCTCTCAATTAACCCAATTCAACGCGAGCTGTGCGACTTGTATATGCGCGCGCTAAAGTATAACGTGACGTTCTGAGCTTCTCGAGAAAGCGCAACATAACGATTCAACCTGCCGATGAAGTAAACACGCCGCATTGGCTAATTGCTAGAAAAATATTAAATGCGATTTTTCAATTATTGTAATCAGTCGAGGCCACTTGTTTGCGGTTGTTGAAATCGCGATAAAGCAGCTATCCGTGTGATTCTTCGTTATACAGCTAATACAATAGTACTCATAATTATTCATAAACTAATGGAATTTTGGAATTATAGTGGAGCCAAATGCATTATTTAAACAATAGGATTTTTAAGCCTTATTTTCATTGTCGTGCTGGCGATGGTAGACCCGAATTAGTTTCATAATGGTAGAACCGTGGAAAATATCTCGCGCGATCGTCACGCAGCAGTAACTAGGTATTTGGAGCGCTTTGAGATTCTCATCCGCAGACACAATTCATGTGATCACTCTTGAGTCTTCTTTTTCCTTTTTTTAAACCTGTTTGATTTAAGAAAAGGAGCAGTTGATTGCGGGAAGTAGCGACGCACATTTTAATTGCTGTTTCAATCACGTTTAATCGATAATTGAATAAACTTTGATCTCTGTGTTATATTTTTTATATACAAAAAAGCATATTATAAATATATTAGCAGAAATAGGAATAGAAAGGTACATTAGAAGAAAAAGAGGAAAGAAAAGTGCGCATATAGAAATATCGGAGGAGAGTTCGATCTTTCTCTTCTCGATAGGCATTTTCCTTACTTTCCTTAATTATCTGTAATTTTATTGTATACACTTATAAATCATTGACCATAGGATACGTCTGATAAACAATAGTTGGATTAACAACCGTTACCGCCGAGCTTCCCGTAAGCCTCCAACGCTAATTGGTACGCGCATGGAGTAGCAAACCAATTAACAGGTATCGAAGCACGCTTGAGACGCGGGTATGCTTTATGAAATCATAATCTTGCGGTAAATTTACAGAGGAAAAGGAGCATAATCATCTGTGGCATAACTAATAACGGCAACGGGGTGAGAGAGTCGTAAAAGCGCATTGATTTTCTCAGAAACTGGCCTTAGAAGTACGCACGATCGCTTGTGATTTATGACCTCCTGATATAAAGTCGCTAATATGTTTTAATCGTCAAAAATATTTATATATGTATATACACATATTGTGCTCGACGATGCTCGTCTCTTCTGAGATCCCATTCGAAGTTTCGAGGACTGTACTCTCAAGACTGTATCATATTTCTACCGAAGAGATCCTTTCCGTTCCTCCAGTCTCACGATTCTTTCGACACACGCCCATTCAGCGCTCTCTGCAGAAGCATCGGCTTTCACACATACACGCACATACGCTGCGCTCTTGACGAGATAATAAAATTTTATCGTGCTTGCCGTATTGTGTTGTCGCGACTTTAATAAGAAGTTATTAGAGGTGTGTCTTCTTCTGTGTCATTTCAGATATTAATTGCATAACTAATAATTATACATTAGGCGATGCGTGCACAACAAAATGTAAAATATATTTTAAGCCAGGATGCGGAAATTTATGAAAATCGTGGGATTATATTTCAATGTAAAAACGGAAATTTCGTCAAAGCGCACAGATTCGACGAGATTCCCAAAGGGGTCGAATATTGTTCTATACTGACACCGGAAAAGAGGAAATTATGTTCCGCTGTGTGGCGGGACATGAGTACGGAAACCGTGATTTACTTTCCCCCGGTATAATAATGCGCTCGCGATACGTCGGGCTACTGTCGTCGTATATGGTTATAGGTCGGTGCCATGTAGGGTGCCGACGCATTTGCATTTGTCTGCTTGTGTTGAGTGTGCACCCACGTGTTGCCTTTTTCGACTCGACCTAATACTCACGGACGCAAAGGATACGAGAGATTCATTCAGAACCGCAGCCGAAATTGAGTTGTGCCCGTAATGATTCATAGTGACACTTTAGCCTACAGAAAAAATGCTGTAATAGATGTAACGTTGTCAAGATTATATTAGATGTCGGTACATTGTGATTTATACATAACGTTTAGAAATTTTCGTAAATATAAAATCACATTGTGATTTATACATAACGTTTAGAAATTTTCGTAAATATAAAAAAATATGACTTCGAAATATGCAAATTTATATTTTGCAAAGATGAAATTACTTATTGTGCTACGTTTTTTCTCACGGAAGATATTTATTAATTCAAGATATAATTTAGAAGATTGTTGCGAGCCTTTCTGTTTTTATTTCAGGTTTTATGGCACCTCGATATCTTTCGACGGAGCTTCAGAGAGCTTTCTGGACATGCTTGCATGCGAGAATCCTGCATCTTCTGCGCACTTAAGGTAAGAGAATCTAAATTTCCAATAAAGATTAATTTTCTCCATATCTCTCTGATGTATTTCGTGAATCCTGCGCGATTCAATAAATCTGAGAATACTGATGAACACGCGGATGCATGTCATTCGCAGGACAAGTAATAATAGCCTTTTAATTGCGCATTGCGAGATGCGATGATTGTAACTACGCTGAGGACAAATATTCCAAACACTTGTCTTGTTTTTATAATACGACACCTTGACACCTTTTTACATATCGTTGAGTTCTGGTGCTCCGCGCTCTAACAAAGGGAGACTGAGAACCTTGGGCAGTTTTTAGACAAAGTACTGGGGTTAGAAAGAAAGATCTAGTGTTTTTCTGGATAAATTTTGCGCCGTATGAAATTCAATGAGTGTCATCTTTCGAAACTATCCCAGGGTAAAATGGGGAATGCCTAAGATAAAACGTCTTGATATATCACACGTGAGGAAGGCAAAGCTGATTTTCCATTCAACGCGCCAATTATTCTCTCGGCACTGAAATATTTACATTAAACTCGAGCGAGATACAAGAAACTTATTTAATATAACAATTATATTAAAAATGTTAACTTTGTGCACTTGCGCTCGTTAATTTGCTTGTTTGCTCTATGTTTATTAATTTTTTGTTCACTATAATTTCCCTACTAGTTTGCCACATATATTTAACTTGTTAGCAAAGGAGTAATTGACCATTAATATGTAATATAACGAGATAATATAAGAAAAAAAATTTTTTAACATGTATCTCGTGGTCTTAATTACTTCCTTTCCTCACTATTGTGCATATCGACAATGTGAGTCTCGACTTTATTTGTCGTATCATTTTCTCTTGCGTCCCGTGCAATCGAACAGAGCGACGACTATCCATTGTAACGGGGTCGACGGGCCTTTCGCCAACGATGTTCTTCTCGGTCCTCGGCTCGCGATTGGCGGGGAAACACCGTAGGATAGCTACGCTATCTGTTGATCCATCATGGTCCATCATGGCGAACATAGTCTATCTTTATCATGGAAGGTTAGCTGTTTCATCCACCGCGAGTGAGGAAGCGCGAAGAGGAACGAACGGGGCTAGACGGCGTGGTAAACGTGGCGCATTCGAGGCTAGTCGAGAAGTAGGTGGAAACACGAGTGCCTCTCCCCGATCTTCTCACGGGGTTAATTAGCAATCTCGTGAGTTAATTACTTTAGGCGTAGGGGCAGCGGGCGCGATTCGCAGGAACAGTCACCGGTCGGAAGGACGTGCGCGCTTCTTTGTTACTGTATCCCCGAGAGCTCTCGTGGAGGCGCGACTTCGCCCGAAGAGTTACCGCAATTCGAAATTATTCTACCGAAACTCATTTTCCCGCGCACGGGAAGACATCACGTCGTAGCTTGTAACAATCGGCGTGGTAACGCACGGCTTAAGTGCGGATAATCACGAGCGATAGTCTTTTCTAAGCGTTACTCATAATCTTCACACTAGATAATCGTGTCTCTGTATAAACGCTGCTCGTTATTACTTAGAACTGAACTTAATCATGCAATGTAATTTTAATTGTAATTTTAATTTTGACACAATTGTGTACACACTCGGGGAGAAAAGAAGAATTTTGCATTTTGAGGCAATAATTTTGTTGAGCAATAATTTTGATGAGCATCTTGGCGCGTCTGGGCGCCTGAGCTTTTATACAGATAACCTTTAGTCGAGATTCTAACCTTAAGATAAGACTATATGCGGACTAGAAATTATAGCCTTGTAAAACCATAGAAAATCTACCTGTTGCTCGTTTGTCTTCAGACGAGGGACAGGTTTTCAAGATATATTCGTTGTCTAATAGATCTTTCTCTGCCTTTCGAAACAAATGTTACTTATCCTTTCTGAAAATACATTCGGACAGTTTTCTTATCTCACGTGATAATGAGTCAAAGACTTCTACTATTTTCATAATAGAGAAAAAGATAGTAAAGAAATCTTTTTGTAAATAAATAAACTCTGTAGATAAATAAGTTTGCATATATTTCGAATTATATATTAAATTTGAGAGAAAATAATTATAAAAAGAGACACGAGAGAGAGAGAGAAAGAAAGAGGAAGTTGTATTTTTTAAAAATTCCTTATATCAAATTCGAAGAACTAATTGTCTTTGATATTAAATGGCAGGATAATAATGATAGATGAAGGGGATTCTTAAGAAAGGGCTATATCCACTCATACTAATGAAAAGGTATTCATACATGACGAAGAGCTCGGTCCTGGCGGCATACCTAAGGTGATTCACCACAAATGCATCTTGCGGGGTGAGAATGTTTCGATATTACATGAATCCTTCTTCGGTACGACCTTTCTCAGTCGCGTGCCAACTTTCAAAGGTCCCGTGTTTTGACCGCTAATTTGGCGTAACATGTCTGTTTGATTTTCACAACGAGGTGGCATTGTTTGCGATTTTTATGCAGGAACAATGAGTCCTAAAATAAGACGACCACACTTGAGACATTTAAAATGTGTCTTGAGAATGCCATCACGAGTAGGCGCGTCATGGGTATACAATGAGAAATGTTGCAGTTTTTATCATGACGAATAGAGACGTCTGTCTAACATATAAACATTGGCGGCGTCTTATCGTTGGCGACCGATCCCAATTACTGACGCAGTCACAATTCAGGAAGCGAACGGAATTGGTAACGTCGCGGGAGCAAGCAATTTCAGCCTTATGATTATTAATAAACCGCTGGTTTCTCCCGCCGCGCGCTTCTTGTTTACCTATTTGCAATTTCTCAAAGGCCGGAACAATGTTTAAACGTGCATATAATCGTCGCGTCATGAGATTTAGTTCCGATGCGGCTGTATGATATGAACAGTAGAATGTCTCTAATGGTACAGATCATATCGGCAGTATGCTCGAGTATAATTCTCGCATCTTTGCATGCTCTTGCTTCATCTTCTATCTCGAATACAGTTACGGCGACGATAATTGGCGACTGCGTACATAATTAGGAGAACCGTCAATTAAAAGTGTTCGTCGCGGTGTCGCTAAACAACAACCGTTACTCCTTGAGAAACGCGCGTCAATAATTGACGATCGTGCTGCGCGATCCACAATTTTTTATTTTTTTACACGTCACGACGATTTGTAGAAAAAGCACAGCCGCGTTTGCGGGTTGCCACCTCGGTTACGGACACCTGACATAATTTCCCGTTATTATCGGATTGTTTCCGGTCGGCGTTGAGATAGTTCCTCTGAGCTCGCCTGTCGGGCTGCTAAAAGGTGACTTGGAGTTATTATTTTCTTGACTTTTACAGTCGACGTTGTTACATCCTATAAAGATTTTACGCAAAATGTCTTAATCGCTTCTCGGGAGGTTGTGCCGAAGAAATTTACAAGGAAACTTACTTGGACCGCTCTCTGCGTCCAAATTGAAAGCTAGCAGGTAGGTCACCATCGCCATTTAAATACTCGTTCAGAGTCAAGTGTTTTACATGCTTTGACTCGGTTGGGCTTGCATCCTGTCGCATGAACGAAGGAGGAAATGTTCCAATCCCACGCCAAGCGAGCGACTACTTCTCTTACGCGATGCCCACACTTCTTGATTAAAAAATATCACCGAGAATCAGGAGAAACAGCCTAATACAATCAGTCCCCCGTGGTGTATTTTATCAATATATAATTACAATATATTAATTCTTAATACTCTGAAATTTTCTTCTCACGAGCGCTGGAGAAACTTTTTCATAATAGCCGTTCTATAAGAACAAGTAACATTAAATGTCGATTTTTCAATAATAGTTGAAACTTAAATTACGTTTAAACCTTGTCCTAATAATTCAGTATGTTTGATGTGTTGGAAACAGAGTTGAAATTTAAATCTAAGATTAAACTGCTATTGAAAAATCGGTTCTAAATGAAATATCCCGACTCCAGTCGAGTCGAAGTACATCAGTTGCATGCGACTCGTGCCTTGTCGTCGACGGATCTTACGTGTGTTGCGTGCATCAGTGACAAGGCCTAATCGCAGTCGATACGCAATAGCCTGGCTCTACACGTTTGTCCCAGTCTCCACGTAGCTACATACTACGTCTCTCATATTTTCTCCACAATCTACCAGCACACACGTGCCGGCACATACATTGATACAATCGTACGGAGTCGTTCCTCGTGACTCTCGTAACTCCTCTAGGTGAGCGTCAGGACTGGAGCGGGAGTCTTGGTCGCCCGCAAGATCGTTCAAGCTGACAGAGTCTGTGGGTTCGTCTTAGGTGAACAATGTTGCCTTCGGCGTTGCGGTCGAAGCGTCAACCCGCTTCAATTCGTAACGGAGGAAACTGGATGAGACGCGAAGAACATTCTCGCGAGGAATCGGAATCTCTACGTGAGACAGAAATCTTCTATCAAGGAATCATCTAAACATGAATGATCTCTACCGTATGCAATCTGACATATTGTGCTATGAACAAAATGACGGAGAGACGAGATAAATTCCTCATCAGCCGCACAGTAGCACTTGCCGCAACTTTCCCCGTCGACGTAACGCGCTGCAAGCGTAATTGGCCGCGTTTTCTCGCGGAAGTGATGATCCCGTGGAGATTCGGCTGGTTTTTCGGTGATATTCGATCGTCCCGGAGAACCAAAGAGTGGTTCTTGTTTACGGCCCTGCTCACCTGGGCCGCTAAGGTAGGTAGGTGAACGTAGGACAGCTAAACGGGTGACGTCATTGGCTTCTTGGATCTATCGGAAGGCGGGATGAAGCGAGAAGGGGCACACCGTGCTGCGGCCCCATAGAAAGAAGAGGAAGAGAGCCGGGGGTGGGGGTGTTCGCCAGTACCGCGGAGTCGCTGGCTTCAGGTACGGGCGCACGGTGCCGCGTGCAGGTAGTTCTGTGCTCCTTCTCCGTCACGTTTCTCCGCGCGATCGCGCGTCGCTTTCGGCCGAAGGAACGCTCTGATCTTCACGCTTCTCTCGATGAGCCGGAAGTGCAGCCATTGAAGTTGACGGGGAAGGAAAAACGGATCTCCGAGTTTCGTGATGGTGCCTTGGTGTTTGTCCAATGGAAGGTGCACACGTGTATCGTATGGTTAGATAACGATGCTAGGGAGTGAATACGGTGAACAAATGCCGGAGTCCTCATTGAAATACCCGCGCAAGAAGATGTAGCGGAACGGTGGTGGCAACTATGGCGGCGAAAGGTCACTCTTCTTCATTCTGAGAGGTTAACGCTGCGAGACGAGAGAGAGGTGCACGTGGTACGTCCAAGTGGAACGAAGTGCTGGGGCCGTCCGACGCAATCGTTAACATCCCGGCAAGGGATTTCGCTATCGTTCGGGGAAGGGTACATTCGGGGAATTTACGAGGAACCATTGCTTCCTCTGATCTACGGTAGCGACCTGCAGAAATTCCGATATAATCCTCATAAATATCCAGTGGATGTTGGAAATCTTCCAAGAAAGTTCACTCATCTTGCTGGGCGATCGTTTGAAATTCTTCCAACGATTGGTCGACTGGTCTTTGCTACGAGCGGGCGGACGAGTTCTCGTCGGAGATATTGGCGACATCGACGGAAGGATCGAAATCGCAATCGATTAGCAAACTTGCGCTTATGCTGATAGCGCGAAGTTCGCGAATCAACGAGGCGACTTCACCGGCTCAACGAGTCCTACGTTTTTAATCGGGTCTACGATACTCGTCCGGCAACGGGTTCTCCCGCTGGCGTATCCGGCATGCTGTTGCTGGATATGATTCTTCTTCCATTCTTTATGAAGAAGCATCTGCCTCGAGACTCTCGCCTGAGATACAACTGCTTGCTCATCGTCAACCTTCGCGTCTCCTCTCTTCCCCGTTTTGTATGCTTAAACACTCTCTCGTTTATCTGATACATCGCGGTGACTGCGGCGGAGAGTGTTATTACTCAGACGAAAGTAACGTAGCGAGTTACGTTGCAACGTCAGACTATTATTTGTACCTGAGAAAAGCAAGAAAGAGGAGATATCTCGAAGGTAAGAGGAAAGACTGAGAAGGTTGAACGTTTTCCAGCATATCTTAATAAAAGCGCTTATCGCCCATAATTTGGAGGGCTCAAGGAGCATCAAATTAAACGAAACGATAAAATGGAGAAATGGTAGTGCACGTCATTGCCTAAAAAAGGACTAAGATTGATCAAGTATCAAAGAAAGCACGTTATAAGATTACAGAGCAAATGCACCAAGCGAAATTGCCAAGCAAGCGTGTAACGCGTCGTATGTAGACACTGCAAACAGCACTATCGGGCCGCGGACCCACCACGGGAAGTTTCCCGCCGGGTGGAAATTCGTATTTGTCTTTACCGTTGTCTTTAACCGGTCCCCCGGAAGACATTCGGTTTATCTAGCGCGATGCTTTCGTTCTGACTTGCCATCCATGGTTTGTACGAATCCACGAGTCTTTCGCTATACAAATTTACTCAACGCGCTGAGATAACCGCGATGTACTCGCGGAACACAAAAACGACAACGATGAAGTGCAAAAATTAACGCCAGTGATTTCGAGCGCGCAGAGAAAAATGTTGAAGTGGATGAAAGTCCGTCAGAACTCGTCGGCGACGACGTCCGTGCCGAAGACGTCGATGTCAGCCGCGCATCGTCAGGATATCAAGATCAATGAGACGAAAACTGAGGTGGAAGTTGGCGGCAAAGAAGAGGAGGAGGATAGCGGCATGGAGAGAGAAGACACGGTGCCCAATAATGAACTGAGCGATTTGAAAAAAGTACGCTTTTCCCTTTATTATTCGTTCGATTAATTCACATCGCGTCAGCATTTATTTTTAATAGCGATTAATTTTCAGTCATTGTAATGCGACTTCTTAATTAGCCGAATTCTTACGATAAATTACCGATAATGAATTTAGTCATTAGACCAGCTGTGTACGTTAGAACAATTCACAGGAGAGCTCGGTTTCTCTCAAATTATCGCAGGTTCTGACTTGACAATGCTCTGGGCATGTGAGAGCTTCTAAACACACGTTGCAAGCTACTCTCTCCTCTGTATGCATGAATTAATCCGTGAAATTTTGCGAAACACGTAATCCACGATGACGTTCGCGACGATAAAGCACCGATTTCATTCAACGATCTTGCCCGATCTGAACGCAGGCGCGTAACCGGCTGGCTTCTTCTCGTCGCCAGCCGGCGAACCTGCCGCGAACAGGTGCTACATCCTCTCCTCTTCCTGACGCACGTGGACGTGCCGTTACTATCATTGCTTTTACGTCGGCCGGCGCTCGTACCGCATCTGTCACTACCGCCACCACTACCAGTCCGCGTTGCACGACATACAGTAACTTTCATTGAGGAATTTCACTCGACATGCGAATTGACATAGCACTGAGTTGCCGCCCAGACGCAACAAACCAGAGTGACTAGCGCGAATCCCGACTGAAACATTCGCATTCGTCGTGGAATCCTAGAAATTCAATTTTACCTACTTATCCGCCGTTGTTTCGCCGTTGTATTGGTCATCATTCGTCGTTTTACACGTATCTCCGTGTAATGTTTGCTCTCCTTTTTTCTTTCTAGACGACAAAAATAGAAATTGGCGCAACTCGTAGCAACTCGCGCTGCGTTGCGTCGTTTCTTGGCTCGATTCGCTCTTCCTTTTTTGCATCCAGCCGGTGTATTTTTGCCGGGTGTTCTCGAAATGCGCCGTATTGAGTAAGCGTTTGGAAGCGCCAGGCGACTTGGACTTTCTAGTCGCGACCGCTGCTCGACGATTCGCGCAAAGATCAGTTGCGAAACCCACTGGTCCGTCTGCTGCCGATAGGTCGCGAATTACGACCGGTCGCTGATACTTCTATTTGACCTCCGCCATGCATCACGGTGGCATACGGCGACGCGAGTCGCAAAACTCGAGGTGACTCTTGCTCGCGCCGCGTATATACATGCCCGCTGAGCTTTCCCTCCGCCAATCGTTGCGAAATCGCTCGCGCTTGCTTCGCGAAATTACCTATGCACCGTCTGATTATCTCGCGGATATGTTGATCAGGGAAAGAAGCAGAGCGATGCGGCGGGCGCGGTTGTGCCGCGATTTTATCGCGGAAGCAACGGCTTTATCGGCGCTGACGTAAGAGAGCTCGCGTAAGACTCGCGCAAGAAAATTCGGATTAACTTCCTCCTCTTATTTATCTACGAGGCACTCGCAAAGGTTGTCCCTGCAATCGCCCAAATCCCGTGACTAAGCGCGGAACTGTGTGCTCGACCTTTCATGTGGCGCAGTAATTACTCCATTCGAGACGAAATAAATTCTCCCTGCGATGTAACAACGCCATATAATGACGGCAGTTCCAAGTTATCGGCGAGAATGATTCTTCTGTCTAAGTATACATGGCCAGGATACCTTCGACGACACCACAGACCGTTGAGTGGAATTAAGACGCTGCGTGCTCGACGCCGCGCTAGCTAGACAAAAACAGCCAGATCTTCCGTCTTCCGTAATACGATGAAAATTTATTCTGCCCGTTGACTCCGCGTAGAATCCGCACCTGCTCGGCGCGGAACTGCATTTATTTGCGTTTCGCGGTGTCTCGTCGGCGGTGTTCCCGACGCGCTCGCCCCGAGGGGTGACGAGAAGATCTCCCTTGGTGACTACTCTCCCGCATTAAATCCTCGTCACATTGTCTTGTTTCAGGACCTGTTCTCGCAGCTGCAGTTTTCGCAAGAGAGCGCACTGCCGCCCGACACATTGCGCCGCGCGCTGGCCGAAAGCTTTCTCGATCAGCAGAGGTTCCAGCTCGGCTTTATGGACGATGCCGCGGAATGTTTCGTAAGTGTCAAACCTCTTCGATATCGATATCGATACGCGTAATGCCAATCCCCGAATTGGCAATCGATCAAACGCGCGAACGAGCGCACGGGAGCTCTCCAGGTGCGCCGAAGCGCGCGCTTTTTACTGCAAACGATCGCGTTCTCGATTGCTAAACGACTTTTGCGACGCTCTTTGTGGCACGATTAAATTGATTTACGCGTTATGAGTAACGCGAAGTGAACAATCAATGATATCCTTGGGACCGGAGAAAATTCAGATTCTGTCACGGCAGAAGAGGAGAAACTTCACTTTTTCGTAAATGACACAAGTAGGAGACGACTGTCCAATGTACACGGAAGAAAAAGATTTGATTGGATCAACCAAATGTCTGGTGAAATATAAACAAACCGGAGATTTCAGTTGAAATTACCAAAAAATCCGGTCGGAGTTGCCGAAATTCTGTTCGACAGGATTTTTAGTTAACTAGAACTTGCAACTATTCATCAGTAATCTTGTTAACTTGGACAGAAATCTGACAATTTAAACCGGATTTTCGGTTCATATTTCACCAGACATTTAGTTCAATCGAGTGTTTTTTTCCCGTGTAATAAAGTTACATCGAATTGCTCCTTCCGTGAGGATTCTTTATTACTTCGGCGATGAGATAAACTCCGTTTTCCTTACTGAATATCTCGAAATCGATCGAGCGCTGCTAACGATGACTAGTTACAGAGATCGGATTGGCAATAGCGATCCTGGCTGAGCCTTGCAAATATCGCCGGGATACTACTTTCTCGTTTACACAACAGTCACGTTGGACGCTAGTATGTCCGCATGTATGTCGACACCGGTCGCTTGAATAATATCAATACAAGCTAGTATACTCGTGCATACACACATGCACACACATGCGCAGCGAGAATGTACAATGGTTGCAAGGACAGTAGTATAACGTACCGTTATTCCGAGTACTCTCGAGCGTAGGACTTTTATCCTCGCGAGAAACTTGGGTCGTTCGCGAGTATTTATGTTTATTGCGCCGAGTTAACCGAGTTGACAACGACTCATTTGCTTTTTCTTATCATTTCTTTTCTACTAGAAAAGTGCAACTTGCTCTCTCACGACAATTGGCGAAGATAGACGTATTCCTGTTGACTTAAGTTGGCTTTGCAGCTGCGCGAGCAGCCCCGGCAAACAAGGCGAGCAGGGAGCCGCGCGTGTAGGCTAACGGACAATTTTCAATTTCAGGAAAACATCCTCTTACGCATACACCTCCATATCGCCAGCGGCGAGGCCGAGGATATGTGCAGTGCGAGGCATTGTGTGCCGCATCAGAAGTTCGCTATGACGCTCGTCGAGCAAAGCGTCTGTGGAGCTTGCGGCGCAACCTCGGAGCCGTTGCCTTTTACACAAGTTCGTGTAATTAATATATCATGCTTTTTGCTTATGCGTTGCTTGTCGTTGCTCAGTCGTGCACAAAAGAACGCAGGAGGAACGTCGCTTCTGAAAAATGCAAACACTTTCCTTCCTCGCTGTTTTATGGATTGCTTATTAATCTTCGTGCTTCTCGCTAGTAAACTGTTGCATAATTTTTATATGTAAAAAAGAACAAAAATGCAAAAGTTTGTAGATTTATCTGTGACCACAATGGGGTTTTGGGAACGTGTTCACAATGGTAGATCGATGATCGGTTTTGTTTGCGAAACGAATTCCTGAATTCCTCGTGATTTGGTTGTATCGCTGGGATACAACCTTCGGTCTTGTTGAATCTTTTGCATTAGCTATCTCAGGTAGTGCCGACGGCATAGTTTTTACCTGTGATACATGATGCTGCTTCAAGGCTTGAAGCGATCTTTATCAAACAAAGCGTAGGGTCGGAAGTACTACTAATAGTATTATTCTCGTAGTATAGTACTACGTATAGGAGGTCTCTGTCCTTTCCTTTTGCGCGAAGAACCCTTCGCAGACTTAAGACTTAGACAGTCCAGTAGAAAATCTTTGATCAAATAGGCGCCGTTAGGAACATAAAATAGTCTGAAGCAAAATCTCTTCTTTCGTTTCCAAGAAGGAAAACTATTAGGAAAGAAAAGCAAGTCGGAGGAGTTCTTTGTCAAAGAATTGTTAAATTGGCGCCACAGATTCTTTGTGAAAGAATTGTTAAATTGGCGCTACAGATTTAACTGTCTGTAGCCGTGTATAGCTGACCAGAAATCGAAAAGAAATCCAACCGTTGAAAATCGCGGGAATATTCTGCTTTTGAAAAAAGCAGTTGGTCGTTAATAGACCGTGTAATCTCGTCGTTGTGAAAGAATTATATAATTCACATTATATAATATCACAGTACATTGTCGTGTTACTGTTGCAGTCACTGTTACAGCCGCAAAGATACGTTCTTGTAATTCGGGCTCGTACGATGACCCCTTTCCGTGATCTAAAATAACAGGAACTCCTTCCTTGCGTCGCGCGACGGAAAGGGTAGCCTAATGTCATACACGTTGTCCAGCATCTCGTGGGTGGAGTTGCTTTCCTTTGGCGTGCTCGCATCGGGCATCGTTGATCGGCGAACCGTAAAAAGCATGAAACTAGTTGCTGTTATGTATCGGTCATGGCCGATAGCTTTTACCGTCTCCCGCTCTCCATGCAAAAAGTGTGAACTTCCATGGAGATAGCCTTGGCTATTAACCTGCGTTTCCGAATTTACATTTTATAAATTCTGAATCTTGGACTTTTTACTCTATGGATCTTTACTATGTGAGATTTCACTCTATGGATTTTTATTCTATAAACATTTTTCATAAACATATTTTTATTCTATAAACGCGTTACAACAGTGCTATCATTCTGCCCATAGATGGTGCATTACGTCTCCGCATCAGCATTGACGTCCCAGGCTCGTCAAACGTCGTCAATCTCTCGAAACAACCCGGATCTCTTCGGGCAACTTCTTCGAAGAGCCGGCGGGATGGGTGACATCCGCGACTGTCCGGTGAGTAAGGTTGAATTGCACACGCTATTTCGTAAAACGCTCGGTTGAGTCGCGCGTAACTCGTGTTGTGTCTTACTTTTACGATCTAAGGGAGACCGATGACGCATAAAACCGTACTGACTCATCCACGATCTCATTATAAGATCTCTCGAACCTTTCCTCTTACAAATTCTTGTCTGACTGTGTCGAAATTTTTTCCTGAGAGTGAAAAATTGACCGAAATTTATGATTCGTTATCTTGACCACGACGAATGGGTGATATAATATAGCGTTAAAAATATATTTTTCTTGATTTTCATCGCTCACAGAGTTCTTGCGGGGCGAAAATTCAAATATGCCGGACTCTGATGAATCGGCCGGAAATAGTTTCTGTCGGTGTCGTCTGGGACAGCGAGCGGCCGTCGTTGGAGCATATCATGGACGTTTTCGCGACCGTGGGCACGTCCCTCCGGCTCAGTGATGTCTTCCACAGCGTCGTGGACTCCCGATGGGGTGCCTCCACTGTGCATAATCTCGTAGGAGTGGTCACCTATTATGGGAAACACTATTCCACCTTCTTCTTTCACACGAAGTTAAAGGTCAGTGTTGCTTAATTCACGTCCGCATTAGTTGAAAATCTTCAGTTACGACGAGTCGATTTAACAATAATTTGGGAAAATAATATTCCAGGTGTGGATTTACTTCGATGACGCCACCGTGAAGGAGATTGGACCTCGGTGGGAGCAAGTTGTGGAAAAGTGTAGGAGAGGTCGTTATCAACCTCTGCTGTTACTGTATGCGACGCCCGCCGGAACTCCCGTTAATACCGAGAATGCTCCAAAGACTGTTATTCCTTTCCCGAATGGAAACGGCCTAAAGACATCTCCGAAGAACAGTGTTCGTCGTTCCATTACGCCTAGTCCTGAAAAGCCATCCATCAACAGCACTGCCAGGCGTGCCATCACACCTAATCCTGACAGTCCACCCCATCTTTATACGCAACGAAGCATTTACAGCGATTATCAGAACCTCACCGACATCCAAAACAACATATTCGGCAATCAGGTGCGTTGCAATCAATAATTACCAATGACTCTTCATAAATTTATACTTTTTTCAACTCAATCGAGATACATAGACATTGCAATAGTTTAACAATTTCAAATTAATCTTGCACAGGGCGTGGATGTGGTTGACGGTGAAGTAGAATCGAAATATATCAGTCGTCGCACCGTCGAGAACGTGATGCAGCATCAAAAGAAGCAACAGATGCAACTGACGCGAAGTTTAAGCGCGGGTTCAGCGCCGCAAGATGGAATCAACATTCCTGATCACATGAATGTGCCTCGAAGACGAGATTCCGGTAACTGGTCTGGCGATAGGAATAGCGCGTCCTCGAGTTCGTCGACCACCATGGACAATCCGTACCTTTACATTGTGAACAAAATGCAGAGGAATTCGGGTGTACCTAAGAGCCCAACTAGCAAGTCCGGAGAACTCTCGAGCAGCAGCAGTGGCCACTACGACGCCGGCTACGACTCGTATTCTTTGTCTTCTACGGACAGTCTTCCACTTCAGCAAGGCCTGAAGCATAACTTACAGGTAAGGAACGAGTACACTAAGTGTCGATGAAGATGATAGAATTTTACAAGTCTAGAACAAATTTTCACTTGGCGCGAGATATCCACGCGAGCTCTCTGCCTTTTGCAGCTTGCTCAAATACCAGAGGGTTACCAGCCGTCTTCCGGTGACGACTGCGAACGATTGTGTAAAGAAACGGATGCGCTGTTGGACAAATCGCGGGCTGCCGAAGATGCCGGCGATCTTAGCACTGCCGTGGCACTGTGCAGCGCGGCCAGCAGCAAAGCCAGAGCCGCGATGGACGCTCCGTACAATAATCCTCATACGATCACGATAGCGAGAATGAAGCATAACACTTGCGTCATGCGAACAAGGAGTTTACATCGAAGGATGCTGCAGGAACAGGCGACTGTCAATGGCGACAAGGAAGGCAAGGAATTTTGACACGTCGATTAAAATACATATTATAATTATAAAAATATATGTATTAAAATACATATTATAATTATAGTGCTCATGGCAGGAACGTTCAATATTTTTCTCTGTTTAGAAGGAGCACCGGAAGGAAGGCACTCTCGAGAAAACAGCAAGTCGGGCCAACATTCGAGGCAAAGCTCGCGGGATAAGGGCAATCACTCTCGACAGAACAGTCGGGAACTTCTAGTGAACGCCGCAACGACGGTGGTGGACAAACCTGCCACGAAGAGCATCGAGATTTACGCGACTCTACCGAAGAAGAAGACTTTACGTAGCAAAGCGACGGCAGTAAACGTCATCGAGGACGAGGAGTACATGCTGTACGATCGTCCGACGCAGAGAACCGGTTTGTTTAGTCGTACAAAACGCTGCGACGATGACAAGAAAGACAAGAAACGCGCGAGGAGCGAGGAAAGGAATAAAAACGTCTCGAAGGATTTTTCGATAGCACCGTCTCGAGCGTCACCGTCGCCGAAAGGTGCGAAGGTCGAGAAGCCAAAGGAAAGCGTTGAGATTAATACGTCTGCTGTGAGGAGTGCACAGCCCAACAACGCGACTGTGGTCGAGCAAAAGCAGGGCAAGAAACAACATAAGATACGTAGGAAATTGCTGATGGGTGGATTGATCAAGAGGAAGAACAGGAGTATGCCAGATTTACGTGAAGGGCAGGATGGCCAGACGAACGAGAACGCGGAGGGAACCTCCAGCACTTTGCCGAAGCAGTCAGTAGATGATTCCAGTGTCGGCTTAAAGGGCAACGACGTGAGTCAATCGCTGAGCGGTTACCTCTCGGAGGGACATCTGGAGTTCGCCGGCAACGGTGGGCCAGGTAACACTAGCAATCCAAATCTCGAACGTAGTCGTCTGATGAGGAAGAGCTTTCACGGCAGCGCCGGCAAAGTGTTACACGTGGCGAAAGTGCCTCCGCCTCCTCCGCTCAGGACCACTTCTCAGCTTAGCAAGTCTAAGTGTTCGGGCGAAGTGCACAACGAGCAGCAATCCGATAAGGCTGCGTATCCTTTGCCCGACGGTCAGTGCGCAGCCAACCAGTCGCAGGATCAGAACGCCGCTTATTGGAACCACATGAACTCAAATAGCTCATCCAATGCGAATAATAGGAACTCCAATTATGCTGATTATTCCTCGGAATCGCATTCTCTTCCATTTTTACCATCTTATAGTGAACAGAGCGCCAATGTTGCTGGAACCTGTCAAACAAGTTACAACAATAAGCCCAGGATTCAAGATGACGTTGTACAATACGCCAACGGCATAGTTTACGAGCCGACTTTCGTCGTCACCCGTGCCGACGTGCACAGTGAGCAGAGTCCTGTTAAGCAGCAGTCTCAGTTAGATCCTTTGCCACCTTATCCTGAAAATGGTAATGTCTCGCACTCGAGACAACCGAGTGAGGACTTCCCGCCTCCTCCGTATCCGTCGATTCACTCGGTATCTCACTCGAGACAAGCCAGCGAGGACTTTCCGCCGCCGCCACCGCCAATCGACGAACCGATTCATCTTTCGGAGACTCAGCAGCATCAAGTTTCCGCTCAGATGCAGCAACGCTCACAACAGTTCGAGACACAACAGATCAGCAGCTTGTTAGCGCAGTTGCAGAACAAAAGAGAACAGATCCTGACTAGCGAAACGAATGATGAGAAACGGCCGGAAGAACACGAGGAAGAGGAGAAGTCGTCCAGCGAAACGTGGTTGAGAGAGCTACAAGCTAAACAGGCGGAGAGGAAGATGAAGAGGCAGGGATCTCTGGATCAAGACATCCCGAAAGTGAGAACACCGTCAATAGCGATTCAAGGATCAACTATTGCCAGGAGAACCAGCGACTTGATGATGAACAGCCTCGGACAAGGATACGACCAAGGTCGTGACGTCACAGACTGTCCGCGGGTCGTCTCGTCAGTGAAGGACATGGCTGCCAGGTTCGAACAGATCAAACTGCAGCCGACCCCGAAATCCGAAGTGGACGTGAAACTCCAGCCGAAACAGAACATGAACTGCGTATCTCCCATATTGTTGTCGTCGGATGTTGCTCAGGAGCTGTCGTCGGAAGAGACGAAATCAACTAAATTATCATCCGAGAATGTGACGCCTTTCGTGAAGACGGAAGTCGTACCTTCCCAGTCGGCCTTGAACTCTAACTTCGAGTCGAACTCTAGCCAGAACAACTTCATCGCGATGACACCGCCGAACAATTCCGCTGTTCAACAGAGCGGATTGAACGCGGCGATATTGTCGATGTCCTTGACACTACCACACGAGAACGGTTTACCCATCGATTATCCGGAGGATGATATCAGTGAAGTAGCAATGCAGAACACCATTCAGAATACGACGATCTTGCCGAGCGAAGAGGACATTGCCCCCAGGAAAGTGAAACGGCGGATAGGGAAGAAGAAAAGCGTGTCTTTCTGCGACCAAGTAGTGCTCGTTGCTACAGCAGAGGACGACGAGAAGGACTCATATATACCTAATCCTATTCTGGAGAGGGTTCTACGTTCTGCGATGAACAAGCCGGAAACTGCCCAAGTATTGCGAGAAATCAGGAGTCTCCAGGAAGCGGAGATGAATCGCGAGAACACTGCCACGAAGTTCCAACAGCAGACTCTTCCTTTGAAAAGCGAAGCCGATAGCGTGCCAGCGACACCCTTCCAAGATCAGCTGAGGAGCATTAATCTGGTACCAATTCCGGACACCATCAAGCCTATGTTCGGGCGACAGAACTCTAGTGATTCAATCGGGTCGTTGACAGATAAAAAGTCTTGCGGATCGTACGGGAACGAAGGCAAAGACGTCGTCAGAGAAACTTACTCCAGCACGCCGGTTAACACTTCGAAACCCTCGTCGTATTCGCCGCAGCTGCAGCAGCAGATCAGATACAGTCAGAACGGATACACACACTTCGTGCAACCGATATATCCGCAGACTCAGACGTCCCATCCGCGAAATCAGGCTATTCCCTTGTCGCAAGCTCAAAAACCAGCCAGTCCTTACCCCACGCAAATGCACGGACAGTACATTCAGAACGGCATCCAACAGGCGAAAGTATTGCCGCAGAAAAACGGCTACCCGGGCGGGACGTATTATCAGTTGGAACAGCAGCATAATCAGATGAACAAACAAGCGATCGTGCAGCCGCAACAGAACACCCTAAGTCAAAGGCTTCCGACACACAACGCTAGCCCGATAACTGTGCAACACTCACAGCAGCAATTCTCGTATCCTCCCAATCAGTCACCGAGCCCATATCAAAGTCAATACTCGCAAAGTTCCTATCAGGGTCACTCCTACCAAACTGTTCTTCCTCAAAGCAGAATGGGTCAACCGTTACCGCTGTATCAACCACCGCCCAATCCTCCACCCGTATCTTATCAACAGCAACAGCAACAGCAACAACAGCAGCAACAACAAAACGTACAGAACTACCAGCAGAGACACGACAGTTATCAGCGACTATCTCAGAAGGTAGATCAGCCGAATACTTTGGTATCCAATCAGACCTACCCGAAGACTGTGCAGAATGGTCAGATACAGTCGAATATGAAGTATCCCGCCTACCAGCATCCCCCGCTTCCCAAGCAGATGCATTTCGCGATGTCCACCGCGAAGGTCGTCCCGATGATGACGCAGCCGATAGTGACGCAGTCTTCTTTGCAAACGGCGACGAACGTGACGACTACCATGAGGGCGTGTGTGACCCCGTGCAACCTTTGCCGGAAGAGAAACGTGCTCGAACCGACGCTCTACTGCACGGACTGCGACTTTTACATGTCTCGTTTCCGGGCGGGCAACAAAGCCACCTGAGCTGCTCGTCGGGTGGCTTGTCGGCCTCATCGAATGTTGCGCTCCTGCGAAGAAGGAGCAGAATCGTCTTCTCCGTAGCGAGTTAATTCATTATCGTGCCAACAGATAACAAGCCGCTAGGGCTCGCGAAAGTCTGATTCTCGTTCACATTTTCTACAGTCGTGTAGTATTACATTTTTAAACGGCTCGCATTACGTGCGATTGCAAGATTATAATATTCAAATTTTTATTTAAAAATTGTATAATGCTTCCATACTTCTCGCATGCTAGGAATAAACCTAGCTTGCAATTCATGAAATTCTTAAAGTTAAGAAGAAAAAAATTTTATTGGAGTTAGAGAGAAAAATTTAGACGCAAGGCCAATACGTAGTATTCCGTTAATTTTTTAGATGACATTCGATGAAATATCCGGATAAATGTTTTTTCGTCTTAATTTGTACAAATTAGACAGTATTTGTTTGGAGACCCTCATCGTGCAGCTACTAGATATATACTCGCTTGTACAATATTATTGATAGTATTATTTTCTATAACTTATGTTAAGTTGTGTGTAGAAAAGCTGTACTTTACATTGCATTAGACGTACTTCGAACTGCTCGGCTAAGTAGATGATTACTATTGCAACGTGCAGATTCTAAAAAGTTCTATATACAATGTGTCCCTCTCCCCTCCCCTAGAGTCTTATATTTTATATAAAACAGCGAATTTTCACATCATCATGTCTGATTTACTGCATTCTTCGTATCTATAGTGCATCAATTTTCATTTGTACATAGGCAAATCTCATCTCACAAACCTCTTTAAGATTTGTAAAAACGAATAATTCTATAAGTTGTAGTTGAGCACACGGCACACTTGTACTTCACTTTTTGTTTACTCGTGCATATCTTCAATGCACGTCGTACTTTTGTTACAGAGACAAAACGCCGGAATTGTGATACTAGCCATGCTACGTAGAATTTATTGTTACGGTAGAAAATATATCACACGTTGCGCGAAAGGAAACTTAAGTAGAGAGTACGTGAAACTTGATCTCTGAGTACGCGTGGAGTTTATTTTACGTTAACGGTTCTTGAAGTTACGTCGTATGTACTTACGTAATGTAATATGTTGCATTGTATTATCTTCTAAGTGTTAGATCGATGTAAAAACGTCCAATTTTATACTTTTTGTATGAGTATTTTGTTTTAAGAAATACTTTATTTTGACCTCTTGTAACATTAATACAAATAAAAAAGATTTAATAATAATAACATGAGAAAGATTCTTATAATATAATATATCCTATAATTTCTCATATATACTGACAAAAAATTTAATAAGGTAATTTACTTTAATATCAACATATTAATGAATTAGTGGATTTATGTTTAGGATAAAAAGAACAGTTGCTCGTCACTAATATTCGTCAGATTTGGGTATTCAAGTGACTAATTCTGAAATACGGGTTTATAGTATAAAGTTTGTTTTTCGTTAATACCTTTAATGTTAACAAAAGATACATTTTAAGTACATAAATGTACTGTCCTACAATATATCATTTCCTAAATATTATATAAATGTTTATAAAGAGATACAAATTTTTAGGACAAATATTTCGTGTTAAGATGAATTTTATTCAAGTACAGTTTTATATAGTTGACATTTTCTTTGTTACGCTATCGCATTTGTAATATTAAAAAAATTTTTCTGTTATATTATATTATTCTTCTGAATAATTAATGTCTTTGCTTTCTTCGTCTTAATATATATAAAAGGCATTTTAATATTTCAGGCTACTTCCACAAAGTGCATTTCGATTCTCGATTAAGTAAGCTATTGACTGGGCAGTTGAAAACGTTAGAAAAAGCTTCCATGTTAGCCACAGTACCGAGTATTCGAAATTTGTTAGGACTATGGTCATCTGTATTAGCAATGACTGCTTCTACCTTTTCCCTTGTTATCATACACCAGTCCTTTAAAGTACAATTTAACTATGTAAGTTATAAAATAAAATATTATATTTTCTATAAATCTTCTTCATAAATAACAACATATATGATAATGACGTGAAAGTATCACTCATAAATTTTTAACAAACTTATACTTCCAAATGTTCTTGATATATTTATATATTTATGTATTATTAGGCTTACGTTTGCGAAAGATAAAAAGAATAATTCCTCATCGCTGAATTCAGTCAAACCTGGTAATTTTGGTTGTGATCCAACCGTTTGCTTGCGTTTTTGGAATGCCGCGAATGCAACTTCCAGACCAATGTTGTCAGCGACATTTTCATCCTTTGTAAGTAGTCCATTTAACTAAAAAAATGAGAGAAGAGTTTGTTCAATGTATGCTTCTTTTTCATTGAACCTATAATATCAAAATTTAATTTGGGCGAAACAAATAAACAAGTTGAATATTATTGGATATAGACATGTATTTATTCCTATCAATACTTGATTCAAAAAGAAAGAAAAAAAAGTACATTACTAAGCACATATAAAAAATTGGCATAACTACATATACATACTTGAACAGGTTTTCCATCTTTGTCTGCCGCAATCAGTGTGAAATTATTATATTGATTTATGAAACATTTCACCCTTTCATTGAAAGCTTGACTAGTTTCTGCATCACTTTGAATCTTATTACCAAATTTGTCGTACTCGATTCCTATATATTTTATTTAGATATGTAAAATAATGGCTTAAAATGTTAAAGATCGAAACTCACCAGTAGTGTCAAAACTATGTGCGAGTTCGTGTCCAACAACCATACCAACCACGCCATAATTAACCGCACTAGAAAAATCATACATAAATTAAAATTTTTCTGGCTTAAAATTACAAAAATACTAATAATATTCTGTATTCTATGAACTTACATTGGCATACCGGGAGTAAAAAACGGATCTTGGATCTCAGCAGCAGGTATAACTGGAAATAATTAAATAAAATTTGTTGACTATAACTTAATTGTTACATTGCCACTATCATCACACTGCAATTATATACTCGATTAAATGAAAGAGTAATACCCATTAAGTTCTTTGGTGCAGCATAAAATGCATTGAGAGTTATGGGAGAAAGAAGCCACCTACAACACAATAAAACACAGCAGAAGTGCAAGTGTTTTGTATAATTTAATTAATGAGGTATAAATAAATGTCACATTAACTGAATTATTCGTACTTATATCTATCCACGGGTTTCAAAAAATTTTCGAGTGCTCTCTTATTTTCATACGTTATGCTGGCGATCTTATTCTTTAAATAATTTGTTTCAATTTCCAACTAGAACATTAAAAACTTAAATGACTTTCATTTAAAGATATATTAAAATAATAAGCAACAAATTCATTTATTACATTTTATCTACATTCTTACCCCTTCGTAACGTTCGATGAGTGCTGTTTGATTATTGTACCAGTCGGGATAACCAATCTGTGATACTATATTATTTATTTTTTCTATCATAAAGTTCTTCGTATTGTCATTTGTCCATTCTGAATTCATTATACGTTCTTTCATCTCTACTTTTAAATCGTTTAACATTTCTGTTACCTTGAACAGATTAATATTTTTGAAAATGTAAATCTTGAAATATATATTAGAAAAAAAGTCTTTGTGCTCATTTGATTATATTTTCTAAATGTACTTGCAGAAAAATATTTTAAAAACCTACAGCTGGTATTGTATTTGGCGAATGATATTTCTTGATAAATAAAACAGACAGAGCATCTCGTAAAGGTATATCTGCGATGCATAATTTCCACCTATAAAATAAGAAAAAAAACGAGCATGCCTTGAAACCTTAGAAATTATGTTTTCTTAAACAAGTGTGACTCACCGTGGCTTTTGCTCAGTCATATATTCACCGTAGGATGTTTGAAACTCAATATCCCTCATTTGTTTAGTCAAGTACGGCAGAAATTGACTTACTAAGTTCCATTGAATGTAACTGACTGAAAATTAATTTAACTATTTGTGTTTTCTTTTTTATGTAAATATATATGAGACAAAATTTCTTATTCGTTTTATATATTTAGTCCTGTCACGCGTAGGTGTGAAAAGTGTGACATATAGGTTTATTATTACCGATTACGTGTGGCGGAGTAGCATCAAGTAAATGTGCCAGTTTGTGAAAAAGATGTTTATTATACACAAGCACAGGATATGAAGCGTCAATGGTTTTATTAGCAGATTTGAGGAGCTCTTGTATTACGTGCAACCAGTTTATCTGAAGAAATATTGCGGAATTGTATTATAAAATTTTGAAATTTTTAATTTTAGCATATAACTTTGTATATAATTAATGTTACATATTTTTAATATACTATTATAGTATTAAAGTATTAGACTTTATATTGCCCGTCTCGTATAAAATTATATATTAATATAAATATATTTTCAATTATATATTATCTTTGTATGTGCGCGTGCACGACTAAATAAATTGAAAATAAATTTTACTTACTTTTTATAATTATTCAACGTAAGTAATATATAAAAGTAATAACAAAATTAATGGTATATGAGTTATGCAATGTTGATTTCATAATTGAAATTACCTGGGCGGTAGAATTCTGTGCTCCAGCCTGATCGTAATATTCTTGTAATTCTGCTATCGTCATTCTATCCTGGTCTTTCCTCAATCCTTTCTGGATTTTGTTTTCGTGTTCACTAATCTATCAAAGTTGAAACAGATACGTAAGTTGCAGATTATCTATAATACTTTATGTATTAGTATCTGATGTATTAGTATCTGATTAGTATCTGATTAGTATCTTACAATTAGTGTCTATAACTATTAGAAAATAATTACGTTTTTGAGATTTTGCTGGAAGATAAACAGTTCAGTTACATCTTTTATAAATTTCTCATGTGGAGTTTCAATTCCTTTGTGCATTTTAAAAGCTCTTAGTACCAAGACCATTTTAGTTATATCCGAGTCGGTTAAGTGGCGTTTGCTTCTCTTCACAAATACATCTTCCACATAAGAACCTATACCTTGTGACACCTTTATTTATATGTGTATATAATGTAGATAAATTTCTTATATAATTATAATAATCATTAACGTACTACATATTGTAGGGCATATTAAATTTGCAAAACATAAATAGAAAATATACCAAAATTATATTTTGGGTCGCATCATCCTCTTCAGGTAAGAAACCAAATTCGAGAAAACTGTTGGTTGCAAATGTTTTCATATATGTAATGTCGATTTCTTGCCAAGTATAATTTCCAATGTTAGATTCTTGATTTCCCAACTGAATCGGCCACCCACCGGTCGCATCCACCATTGACTGTATATATTCGAGTCCTTGCTTTTCGATTGCGTCTGCAATACGATTGAAATGGAAGAAAAGCTAAATGAGTAAATGTATTTTCAAAATTTGCATAAAATTAACGGCCATTAAAGTACTATTATCGAAATTGTATTAGTATATGCGTAATAATTGAATTATATTGAGAACACATAAATATAAGATTGGCACCTTCATCCATGCATGAATTGTAATATTGTTTTAGTTTTTTTATAGGATCCAAATTATCATATTCGCTCTCCTCTTCAAGAATTTCTATAAAAAATACATGAAGTATTAGTAAAATGTATAAATGTATGAAATAATTTAAATAATTAAATAATTAAAATTCATTACGAGAAAAAGCTATTTTAATGCAATTGTGCGAAATTGCATGCATATAAAAAACATTTTCTTTGAATGAGTTCGTTTTCAAAGTATCTCTATAATTCAGGAATGCTTTATTGTATAGACCAAAAATTGCTAGAAAATTTCATACCTTTTAGACGAAGAGAGGTCCTCATATTTACTAAATGCGATGTAGACCATTCTAACTCATTGGGTGGAATAGGATTGTTTGTTAGCCACGAGTCGCATGCGTATGCATAGAAATCCGTACAAGGATCGAAAGATTTGTTGATACTTTTTTTTATCAATTCTCCTATATTCAATGAATAATATAATTTTACATCAATTAATTTCAAAGATAATTGAGATCTTTGTAAAATTATTATTGAACACACACACACACACACATGATGACAATATACATGACGAATCGAAGTGTTATTTGTATTCGTTACAATTTTCGCAACATTCCGCAATGTTTATTTTGGTGTTTTGGAAAGTTTATTTTTCTACACGTTACACAGCGGCCTTTTTTATTCATTTTATTCACGTTCACTTAAAATGATTGAGCGAAAAAATCAATGTTATGTTAGTACATTCAATATTTTATACTTTAATGACATACCAATTGTACGGCATGCATCAGTCTCACACACGGTGTAATTAGCCGATCTACGATTAGGAAGTCCAGTCGCACCTGCGACTATTATACAAACACTGTAAAAATAAAATAATTCCATGCGTGAACACAATTCACAAGTGAGCGACGAGAAAAGACTCAGGGACATCCGTTGAATATGTGTTACATTAGACAGCGTCATTAATTTATCGGTAAATTACAAGCCGACCTCGAGACGACAATTTGTTTCACGCAATAATGAATATTGAAGTCTTCACAAATAAAATTTTTGACCAGCACTTACATGTGATACAAGTATCATTTTCTTTAAAATTTTATTTATTCAATATTATTTTTTATATTTTTATTTACACTTTATGAATTTTTGCAAAAGTCAGAACTACAAAATACAAAACAAAACACAGAAAATACGACTCACAGTAGCGGCAAGAGAGCCATGTCTGCATCCAAGAGTCCGCGTCGGAATAGTACACTGTGCAATAGTTAGATACGTACTATTTTTACGATAGATCTAGACTCACTTTTAAAGCGGCTAGAGCGTGTGACCTCTTCTAGCTTGAGCGAGTTATGAACCATGACGTCGATTTACAACGTCTCTCTTGAAACGTTATTGCATTCCAAACAGCATATAAAACTAAAAGATATCTGAAAGATGTCTTTTTATAGTCATCTTTTCGGCTAGACTAAAAGATACCGAAAAGACGTTTTCCAAACATCATGATTAATTTTCGTTGACGAAAAGATATATTTTTATTGTCTTCTTTTCTATAAGATAAAAAGATATCTAAAAGTCTTTTCAGTTATACAAAAAGTCGACCTTTGAACTAAATAAAAAGTTGTTTAAAAGATATCTTACATGACTGTTTTCGATGCGCATATAAAAAAATTCTCACAATCTCTTATGACTAAAGTCTGGTTGCACGAAGGTTATTGTGACTTTAAGGGCCTTTACACACAAATTGACATAACAGTAACGTAAGACGTACTATAAGAATTGATCAATCACGTTGAGAATCGTCGAATCGTAAGGACGCTATTTTTATAAATACTTGATCGTAATTGGTCAATTCTTATGGTATTCTTTTTTCCTCTCCGAGACATATTGTTATACAATATCTGCCAGTATACTTATATTATCGGTAATTATTCAGTTTAGGCCTCTTATCTCCGATTTCGATTAAAGTAGGCTTCGCAATTCGATTTTGTCAAATAAAAAAAGTTGTTTCTCGTGCAAAAACACGTCGATTAAACCTATTTCCATCGAAATCAGAGGTAAAGGGCCTAAACTGAATAATTACAGATATTTATTTTATATTTATGTTGTATTTATGTTGTATTTATGTTGTATAACGTTATATTTATGTTGTATTTATGTTGTATAACATTTTACGACATTCATTATTATAATTATTAATATATTCAGAAAACATAATAAATAATATATATAACATTGCCTTTAAATTTTATATAATCTTTTTTGTCTGAAACAAAACAATTTATAAGAAATATATAAAATACGAAAATACATCTAAACAATAAATTTAAAAGATGACTAAAACTTGTCTGATATTAGTTATCTTATAGGTTACTAAGCTACTATAATATCACTAATATTAGTGGTCTTATAGATTTCAAATATAACATAGCTTTTTGTGAGACATTAGACATTTTAGTCATTTTTTCGTCGACTATACGTTCTACCAAAAAGACGTCCATATCGAAATTCTGCCAAGTTAACTTTTAGACATTTATGTGCTGTGTGGAATCTTATGCAATGGTACTTAAATAGTAAGTGTGTAATAACGATATAATTGGGGAAACAGTAAATTGCAACGCAGAAGTGCCAGTTAAGTGCGGTATAGATGTAAAGATTGTTGAAATGTGCTACGTTTATTACTTTTTTTAAATATGTACTTAAACAGTTCTTATTGTTGTTTCTATATATAGGTGAAATATTATATTATATTGTTGTTTCTATATATAGGTGAAATATTATGCCACTATTACGAAACATCACTGTCATCAGTGAGGAGCAAAGTTTAATCTGATAAATCTCAAGAATCCAGTTGTATTATAAAAATTGCAAAGCATGTGGAACATAAAATAATGATGTTTGCCCTATTAAATGATGACGTAAACATTTGCTGTTTGCATGTTTGCAAATTGAGCAATACGAATCGATATCTTAAGGTCAAAATGATAGTTTAAGATTGTAGACGAAGATGAATGATATTCTGTTACTCAATTCTGTTATTCAATTCAAATATATCTAGTTCTTGTATTAATTTTTGCGTTATTGTTATGATATGCATTGTATGTTTAATGGACATGTTAAAACTATCTTACACAATTTTTCAAAACATAATACCAATTCTGTAACGTTAATAAAGTTACATGATAAATACATAAAAATACATGTTACATTGTATTATCTCTTAACTGTTAGGCCAATAAATAAAAAAGCACATAATTTTGTATAGTTTGTATGATTATTTTACATTAAAAATATTTTATTCGTTTTATTTATAAGATTGCACTTATAAATAATGAGTGGTATTGATAGAGCGGCCTTATATAATATTATTTTTTAAACATTTCGATCACACATTCAGTCAAGAGTTAATATATATATATATATATATATATATATATATATATATATATATATATATATATA